ATGACTCCATCTCTTGCGCGCACCGCGGAACAACCCTCCTGATCAACAACGACACCTTCATTAATAGTTGCGCCAATCGGCGATACCGGGTATTACAATCTCCGTCAGCTCCCAGTGGATCCCCGCGCGCGTCACATTGCTCTAACAAAATATCGTTAATATAGTTTGTATTTATTTAGTGTGATGAATATAATCCGAGTTGTTGCTGAGCTGTCTACCTTCTTCCGCATTCACAACTAACCAACACACCAAACCGTTTGAACTGAATAAAAGCAGAGCTTTTAATAGTAATAGTAATAGCTTTATTACCCAACAACTAACGATATACCGGGTAATTAAGATAAGTTCTAAATTATTACTTGCCTAAGTACGAAAAACAAATTAAATTTGTATAATAGCTTGATCCACAAGCTTATTCAATGTGCAAGTGAATTATAAATCATAGCATGCCTAACCACAAAAAAAAACAAACTAAAGATGAATAACAGCTTGATCCACAAGCTCCTTCAACGTGCAAACAAAAATGTCACAGTAGGTAGATATTCTGTTATAGTTGCTACACATTACATGAATGGGCGACTAAACTAAGATATTGGTTATTGGCCTACTACATTTGAACGTGGCAATAGTCCTACTTCTGATCCTAGGTACATTGAAATTGATTTGACATATGATAGAAGAGCAATCTGCGGTATTATGTAATATTTTATACAGAAATGAAAGAGATGCAATATTCCGTCTTAGTTCCACACTATCTTGATCAAGATTTCATAGTCAATACTCCATTCAGGATAAGTTCCATCTATTTTTAAAGTCAAATATTTTAATGCTTTGCGTTGTACCCTTTCGGTCATAGTGATGTGGCATTCATATAAAGGATTCCATACAACACAACCATATTCTATCTTCGGCCGTACAAGCCAATTGAAAAAAAGTGTAATGACATCGATACTTGAAAAGCTCCTACATGTCCACACATTAAGCCCACACAGTTTCAAGGCCTCAGACACTTTTTGCTCTACATGTTCTGCAAATGTTAATTTACAATAAAAAGTTATCCCTAGGTCTTTGCATATTATTATTCATTATATACTTGTAATTAACAACAGTGTTTCTTCTACTGTATGAAATGACTTTACACTTATGAGCGTTTAGCTGTTTATTCTCACTACACTAGTTTTCAATAACAACCAAGTTATTTTGAAGTAAGTCACAACGGTCAAACTTATTCACACTTAAGAAAATTGTGATATCATTCGCAAACATTAGTGGCATTTCATTCCACTTTCAGTCTAACAAAATGTGTACCTAACAACAGCATTGGAAAATGCAAAATATTGGAAACAAACTAGAATTTTGGATGGGCATGAATGGGGCAGACCAAATTTTAACTTTCATTTTGAATCTAAAAGAAGGCCGTTACTTTCGGGTTATAAAATAGTACTATGTTTTCCCATTTTTGTGTCACGAGATTCTGTTCTCAGCATGCTCCACAAAATCTATCAGATCAATAATAACTTCCTTTTATTGGATCAATCTAGGTTCTAAAATTATATGTTGTTTGACGCTTATGACAAGGTGATAATTTTGTATGTATCTTTCATGAAAATCGGTCAGCCTCCGGACTAACATAAAATGCAATAACAGACAACCACGTTGTTGTAGGAGAGACAGTGAGACGCGCAAGTGGGTCGTAACGTCTTTATTATATTGTGTAGTAGCAGCAGCTATTGCTCATTGCAGATAAATTGGAAAAAATTCCAGAGTTCATTTGGGGTCATTCTATCTCTGCTCTGCCTGACTGGCTCTATTCATCCCGATGCTATGCTGACCGTTACATTTAGAGAAATTATTGTGTGGTCGTATCTACGAGAATTAACAATTGAGTTACCGATGTAAGAGGATTTCAATCTAAATATGACAAATATAATTAACCCCACCAACTACTAAAATATAGACCTATCTATATATGTTTATTTTTGCAGACTCAGAAAAAGCTTCCTATCTACTATATAGTTGTGCATTTAGGTAAAAATGTTCCAACCTTGTCCGTCACAGTAACAGAACGGCACGGGTATCACGTATCTTGAAAAGTGACATTATGCCGATTCTTTTTGACATTATGCTGTTTTTTTTTAAAATTATTTAAGTTATTCTACAAGATGTTAACTTAGCACTTAGTTGTACGTGTTACCTAAATGTCATGAGACTTGTTATCAATCTTTGGCTCTGATGTGATGTAAAATCTGCTTCTGAGATGGCATTACTGGAGATCTAAGCTGTAAGTTGTATGTGTTGATGATAATTACATTGGGTTCTTGTCTCAGATACACTTAATTGAGATTCAAAGCTAGAAATTAGTTGCGCATCCACTTTTTTCTTATCCATTCTGGAAATTACATATACAAGTTTGCTGAATTTCAAAAATGACAGAGATAAGAAATAATTATATTCACTGTACATTGTCTAATTACAAGCCATACACATGCTAACAGTAATTACACACAACGCGGGCGTGGTGATGATTTCCCGTAATTCTCCTCAGTATTTCGTAATTTATAACTTTGAACATGACCTCTCTTTAAAATGCACAACGTATAAATAACGCGTCATATTCGGCATATTCAGTACTGATTTTCTCACACAGCAAATATCACTGATTTTATACATATGCAGACCAATACACATAATCATCCAGATGTGATCTTTCTATTCAACCAACTTTCCTCTCAGAGATAAAAACTACAGACCCGGATCACTCAGCCTCACAAAACTATGCAACCAATAATGATTCCTCCATAGATGGACGTTCACAATGATCCTAGTGAGCAAACGTGGAATGACTGTTTGGGCCCTAAAAAACTACCTAGTCTGCAAGTTGACATCTGATAGGTTTTTTTTGACGTTTTATCGGTTTTTTACATGGGACCCATGCGGTTCTGCATTGTGTTCCAACCCGTTTTGGGATCCATTTGGGACGGTTTTGTTACGGTGATATCGGTTCCTGCACTGGAGCGAGTACTAAAGGAACTGACATGCGCAGAAGAGCTACTGCCAGGTGATTTCTTCTAAGCCTAACCTCTAAACCTCCTTGCTTGGATAGAGATTGAACGTGTGTGTTGTGTGATTTTGAATTGTTTTAGGATAGTGAAGACGACCGAATTCTATTTCATTGTTGCTGATATATGATCATATTTTTTAGTCCATAAACAAATCTACATCAGCGATTTTGAACTTATTGCAAACGCATCTTTATCACAGTCCAGGCAACTGTAACATAAGATATCAGAGTAATGTACCACAGATATAAAACGAATGATTCACATGAAGCTCTTTTAACGATAGCACTTAGTACATGTTTATTCGCATAGACAATTTTGAACATGATTTTTTGATAACGCTGTTGCAGGTGGAATGAATTTCAAATTTTGATCAATATTTAATTTTTATTTTAATTCCAAATTACCGTCTAATAAGTTAATGTTGCGATTTAACTTTATTTAAGCCATGACATACTTCAAGAGAGGGTCAAGTGTAAACAACATTGTCGCTAAATAAGCGAATTAAAAGGAAAATCCAAAGCTCCTCATAACTATGCCGAAAAATTGGTAGATTATACAAAATTGGCTATCCTGTCAATTTCGAGGCACAAAACGATTCCAAATCCGATCCAACACCTTTTACAGTCCAGAAACAATCCTAGAACCACGACAAGCCGCGCATGCGTGTAACAGGGTACCTCACGAAAATCGAACGGTTCTGGTACGATACTAGCACAAAGGTTGGGACAAAGCTATTAAAAGTTCACAGTAGGTAAAGATGTTCATATGTATGTACTTAGTAATGCATCTGATGAAAAAAATATTTATTACGTAATTTTTAGTAAAAATGCAATACGAAAAGATGATAGAAGAATATGATAAGATGCAAACGTTTCATTCATAATTCGAATGTGTCATTGTTTTTCAGTGGACAAAATTATATTTATTTTTATCCGCAGTGAATTTTTGTGTGTTTTTAAAATTAATAATCGTGAGGCATTGCTGAATATAAAAATTATCTCACACGGCAGAATAACATGTTTCGTTTCAGAGGTGAGCATGGGTTGTTTATGTTTCAGCTTCGGTTCCTAATGACGTGGTTGTTATTCCCTAACCCGAAGTTGGATGTTTTAATGCTTTTCGACTCCGATTTTTGCACAATGTTCATCTTATATATGTAATATTACTTTTTATTTATGGACATCATACTATGTCCTTTTTAGCTAGATCAAAGTTATTTGTATATTATTTTTGATCGTTCCTCAAATTAATCAAAACTTCATATTTTCTATGCATACTTTTTGCACATCATAATGCGCTACAATGTTTTCTCTTCATACCTCTTGATACTTTGACCTCTAAACTGTACATATGTAATAGTACAAATCAAATAAGCTCCTGAAGTAGCAGCAATAATTCATTTTTCAGGAACCTAGTAGTACTTGTAAAGTTGAGTTTTTTCACTGAGATGCTGAGAGTACTATTCAAATGAGGGTTGTCTCGTCTGACATATAATTAAATGAAAAAAAAGACCCCAATGTCAGAAGTGTAGGCAGGTAAAAGAAGCTGTAAAGCATAGTATTTTGTAATGTCCAGGCTGTCTTTAGAAATGTATGTATTTAATGAATTGTACATCATACTGTATGGGAAAGACTTTTAGGATTGCCAAGGCTGCATGAGTTGATTAGCAGGTGGGAAAAAGCACTCAGAGGTAACATATTTTTATTCGGAATTCAACAGTAGAACGAGACAATTTTCTATTGCAAGAGTAGTAATGAATATTTCCTTCTTTGTTTTATTCGTCCACAGTTTCCAGCCCTTTTACACTCAATGATGCACACAACTGTAAGAACCGTTTCCGTTTCATTTTCTCCCCATTCATCACTAGATCAAATCCCGCCTCTATTTAAAATAAACCTCATATCTTGATCATAATGATTAGTTTTCTGTTTTTTTAAGAAACCAGCTACCGACACCGCAGCTGTAAATTATCCATCAGAGTATGTCATTTTTTTCCCGAAGCGCATGGTCTACGTGTTATCAGCAATCTGCCTTTTACCGTATCATGCAGAATTCATGCCACCTTTCTACATAAATCTTGTGTTAACAAACAAATAACTGTAATTATTAAATCATAAATCGTTAAAGCTCACCTATCGTTGCCCGTAATCACCCATATAAGAAATATATTTGTCTCTACTTTGTTTTAATACAAACTGAGTCGCAGTCATAATGCATTTTTAATCTTTCTCTCTGTTTAATTCGACAAGCTGGTTGTTTAGAAAGATACTATAAATAATAATGGAAAGTTGAGTGTGACTTTTTAGGAGACTATCAAGTAACATAGTGGTGTATTAAAACAGATAATAGGATGGTATAAGGAAGTGAAAGGTTCGGTGACAAGAACATTTAAAATAAAGCACATAGGGTGATCTAAAAGCAGAATAGAGGTTCAGAATTTTTCGCTAGCTATTCAGTGGCTACCTTCAATATCCATTCAACGTCAAGACGATGTTTTGAATGGGACATGCTTTTGACCTTTGAATGTCATATGGAAAAAAGGAGATAGGTCAGTATTTTGGGAGGAAACTGAGTAAAAAATGAGTCGTTTGGAAGCTTGATCATTGTTATTAGTGAAATGCTTGAAAAAAACTGAAGAGCGCTCGGGGGTTCCCCAACTTCAGAAGCGCTTTTGCATTCGAGTGCCGGCAATTGTAAAATTACAGAGCGCGAAGGGGATATTACTGAACATCTAAGAGGGACTCACTGCATTAAGAAACAGAAATTTTCAGGAATAAAAGTCAGTAAAAATAGTAGCCGATAAAATAATGACTGAAAATGGAGAAAAATATTTATGAAAAAACTAAAAGAAAAATAAAAACTTCGTTTCTCGAGGTTTCAGAGGATTCGGATCATTTTAGGGGTAAAAAATTGATGGATGTAGAGGGATGGCGATTATATCGCAATCCTCTGTGTTAGTATATTTAATACAATTCCAACCTCGGTAATTCCACGTATCTATTGCACATATTTCACACACCACAATTTTCCCGTACATTTGCCCTTCAAGATTAGATAATATGTTTGACAGACGAGAGGCCTATCGCTAGTATTTATCAACAGCTATTATAATCTGTTATCAAACATTGTTTACGAGCAGTTTTACACCAGAGCTCCAAAGAGACGAGGCATTGCTGCAATTTGAGGAATTGTTTTTTCATGAAACGCACAAGTATTACATTACTGGTTCCTACAAAACCTACGTCTTTTCGGTGTTATTGCACCACATAGAAAAATGAACTAGAATTTGTTTCAAAGACGCGAAAAGTATAGGCACAGTCCATCTATTTGACGCTATTTTTGGTATCTCGAACCAAATAATTGTCGTGAACACATAATACGTCTGCAGTAGGATGTAAACAAGAAACGTGATAAATTGTTGCTAGTTGGGATTCCGAGCTGCTGCTTTTGTTGCCCAATTTTTTCTTATTATTCAACAACCTTAATGACACATAATAAAACTGAACTATTTCCTACTGGTGTTGTTTGTCGAACGAACGTTACTTGAAGATTTGATGCATTGTGCGCAGTGTCATGTTACGTAGGAGTTTATAAAAACATTACATTAATAATAAGCACCAACGCAGAGCATGCTTGGAGGTACCGCGGATGTTGAGAACGTTGAACTAGCGAATACTACTTTGAATTTTTTTCCAGAGTTTTTGGAAAAATAATATAAAATGGGACATTCACAAAGCGTTTGGTACGCGTTTCCATTTTCAGACAGTTTTTAAACATACGTCGAGCTCAACAGGATTTGGTTGTTTTTGGTCACTGTGACCATAGCCAACTGTATGCAACGCTGTTTCATGATTTATAGCAATTATCAGTACCGTATAGATCTAGTCATTGGAGGCACACGACGAAAGGAAATCAAGAAAACATGGGTATACACAAAAACTTATCATATAGTGCTCGAAGACCTTTAAAATATTTACTGTTTTTCAGTTCACTTCCTGAATTGAACCGCAGATGATGTATAACTTTAACAAATGACTCCACTGCTAAGGTGGAAACTTTTCAAAAGTTAAAATGAAAAGTACATGAGTACTTTGAAAAGACTACCGTCATAGCTGAAACATCCAAAAATACTTTCACCCATCATCTGTCGCTCCATTTATTGGTCAGTTAGATGGATCGATGGAGCAGCTATACCTAAGATAATTTTACTACACGGGTAATCCTTATTTTCAACGAAAAAATGTTTAAGGCCAGCAAGTTTTGAAATTAACATCTGAAAGTAGTTATGGAATATAAAAAATGCCGCCATATTATTTGAAAAAAAGTATATATAATCATCTTATAACTTTGTCAAATTAAATCTATTTATAACCCTTGGTATGGTTTTATCGGCAAACGTATCCTCGATTTGGAATAACATTTGACAATAATCGACTCTCCCGGCAAGTAGCAAAATCTCAACCGTCAGTGTACAACTAGCATGAGCGCGGCTTGCTAACGGCTCAGTCAACCTGTGACCGTCAAGTGATATAGACATTTTATTTTGCACTAGCTGCTAACGGAAACTCAAAAATTGTATTCCTATGAGCATTCACATAATTCGGAATAGAAGGGAAAGAGAAAAACTGAAGTTCTGTGAAATATCTTGTATAAATGAGATTTCATTCTAAAAAATTCTATCTCTATATTCAAATAAAAGCTAGTTATCTGCAAAAAAAACTGTAAGTCACTGTCTGACCTAAAAATGTCACGAACTGACATATCGTTCGAAGTCAATTCAAAAAGTACAGATATTTTGATTATTTTGTAACTGGTTGGGAGGTGAAACTTGAAACAAAATGAAGTGTGATACGTTTCTGGGAGTCTCGCGAAATATTACTGGAAACTTAACGCTCTGCAGCTATTTTAGCTAGGTTTGTTGTATGTACTTGATTATAATATTTCAAATATTACTATACATGGTGTAATAATTATATTTTTCGTGTAACATAGAGCAAGTACAACGCTTAGATGACATAGTTGTTGCACCAACTTTGCTGCTTTGTATGTATAAACCATGTGTTAAAAGATGTGAAAATTCTTGAATTTGTATACTATATGTTATAGTTAATTCAATCCTGTTACTGGAATGCCAAATTGCACGCAATATCTGTATCACTGTAGTGTTTCTACTTGTCTACCGATTGGAAGCCAATAAGCCACCGTTCAAGTACAACTTATTTGGTTTCAACTGTATCTAATCTCAATTATCAATAATGGCCTAATTTGTATGTAGTTGGTTCAGACGGTCGCTGCTGGTTCGAAATATTAAATTACCGGTAGTTACAAATAACAGTACTATCCAAACAGTTCAAGCCAGTTATAAAATTGTCAGTCCGTTGGAGCAAAACGTGTTAACGTATCAAAATATTTTCTTTGACATTAGGTAATTTCTGATTGGATACAACGTTGGAAGGACCAGATCTATCTCGTTTCAGAGATATGATACTAAGAGCCGATTTCGCAAAGATTTAAATCTAACGGGAACTACGACCAATTAGGGAGAAGCTTATCGAAATGCAATTTGACGAAAGCTGTCAAAGCTCTCCCAAGATCGCTAATTTCATTGAAATATTGAATAAAATCGTGAAAAAGCGGTTGCTTTATATATAGGGTGCATTATAGATGTAATATTATATCTTTGAGCTTTAGAATTATAATAACTTTTATAGAATTTCCAATTTCACTGTTATTTAAATGGACCAATGAAAATGTGAGAAATAATAGGTTGATTTTCTAGCTATTATACTGAATAGGATGTTTTCACTGTTTTCGACGACTGTCCATGCATGACAATCTAGTTTTGTCTCTACATCACGTACATGGTGTTGTACATAATACGTACCTGTACAAATGTACATATTTGTGTTATTTTGCAAAAAAGGATATAAAACTTATTCCAACTGGTTTATTAACTTTTGTTACATCATAAACAATTTTTGCCAATTTATGATCTAGAAATCCACACCAAATGTAAACAAACATCACATTCTGCATTTCTGGGTCCTAAAACATCGATATTTGTAAATGTATCCGCATCCACCTATATTCATCGTCTAGATATTATAAGTCAGACTTAAAAATACCTATTTACCAAAATATCTGAAAAACTCATTGATATCTTTCCTTTTTATTTGATTAGAAAGCGATCTGGAACGCTAATTGTTTTTGAAGTCTTTTGCAATGTTGCCAAACCAAAAAAAAAAAAAAAACAGAATCGGTAGTGTCGTTGAATTCGATATAAGGAAACTCCGAACTTCAGTGGTGGATCAAGGTCCTACGAGGGCGCATACAACATGTTTTTTGAGGGCATAGTTCTATATTACAACTTGTACAATGTGCATACTGGTCGTTCTTTCAAAGTACTTTGCAACCATTCTGGAAACTCCTTTTTCGAATCTTGCTTATACAATGGTGAATCCTTTTCTGTTTTACCCCTGAACTCATGAACTCGCCTCACATTTTAATTAAATATTTATTTTGAAGCTTCTATTTTTCATAAGATTTTAGCAAAACCTAAAATAGTAAAGGCAACACCGTACCCCGCAGCCCAGTTGACAAGAACTTCAAGCTGTCAAGATTAGGGATGTTTCGATCCACGAAAAGTGTTGATATGTATCCATTTTTATCGTTTTAGGAAGCATCGATACTCTAAAATATGAGAAAATTATCGATATCCAGCGGAAGGAAACAAAGAAGAAAAGTAATCTGAAGTTAGTCACTCGGTCTGACACAGTCCGGATCGAAAGATGATACTCGTGAAATGTATCGATACAAGTGTCATATTTAAAAATATTATTATATATATTTGTGGGAATATCAATCTAAGGTGCTATAATGGTACTGATGAACGGCAAGTAAATGAATGAATGTTTGGAAACGAGCAATATCTTTTGGTAGAGCCTGTCATCAAGTAGGTGCTTAATGACTCTCTGCAAGAGGTTTATAGGAAAAAACACACGGTAGGTGATGTTAAATCAGTAAAATCGCATATCAATTGCAGAAAATAATATTAACATGAATAGACAATCGACAATATTAGAAAAAAAAACATGAAT